AACCTAGCAGTTCAAAAGCATGTAAAAATGCAAGTAGAAAAATAGGGGGCACCTTTGGTGGGGAGGTAACAGCGTTCTATGCAACTTCAGCGTTTAGTCTTGCTGGCCACATGACCACAGAGATGTCCTAATCTTTTATGGCTGATTTCCTGTGGCTCCCAAGGATTTGTCCCCCAAATGGAAAGTTTTGTGAGTCTAAGCTCTTCCCAAGAAGATGCCACGGGGAGCACAGCCACTTCTTAAAAGTCCTCTTACCATGATTCCTTCTAATCCTCCTCTTCAATGGCCTAGTTATCCTAGCTCCCTCAACTGATCATCATATGATTTAGCACCCAGACCCTTTATTCTTAGTTGCTCTTCTTTGCACCTTTTCTCTTCTTTGCACCTTTTCCATAATCTCAACATCTTTTTTGTGTTGTGGTGACCAGAATTGGATGCAGTATTTTAAGTGTGATCTCACTGGCATAGTGTGAAGCAGTATTACTTCCTTTTTTTTTTTTAAAAAAAAGTTTTTTATTGTTTTAATTAAAAAAAGAACACAAAAAAAGAATCATCCTTCATTACATCTTGTAGAAAGCGTGTCGATTGGTTACAAATACATTGGCTCCTCCTCCTGAAGCAGTATTACTTCTTGTTGTCTTGATACAATCCCTCTGTTGATGCAGCCTAGGGTTGCATTAGCTTTTTTTTTAGCAGCTACAACACACTACTGGTTCATACTTATTCCTCTCACACTTAATACTGTTGAGCCAGGTACTACCTTATTCCCTACCTGTGCATTTGGTTTTTCCTACCTAAGGCTAGGTCCTTACTTTTCTCACCACTGAACTGCATTTTGTTGGCCCAATGCTCATGTCTCTCAAAATCTGGATCTTGAGTCTACTAAAATATTGGCTTTTCCACCCAACTTGGTATCATCTGCAAATTTAATCAGTTCTCCTTCTATCTCCTTATCTAGATCATTTATAAAGATGTTGAAGAGTACTGAGCCCAAGCCTGAACCTTGGGATACTCAACTGCATGCTTCTCTCCATGTACAGCTCATTGAGGACTATCGAGTGAGTGTAGTTTGTCAGTCAACTGTGAATCCAGCATATTGTTCTACTTACCTAGAAGTAAGTTGGAGTCCATTTTTGTCAAATGTCTTGTTGAAGTCCAAGTATACTATCTTCATAACATCTCACTGATCCACTAATTTAGTTAATCAAAAATGGCAATCTGTCTAGCATAATTTTTGGGCTCAATTATGGTCATACGTTGAGGACTATCTGTAGTCAATTTCTCACAAATCACAAATAAAATTCAAGCCTTCTCTACACTTATCTACTTTCGCTTCATATGGATTTCCTTGTGTGCAATAAGGAAGGATTTATGCCTGAAGTAATGTGCGCGCTCGCAATAGTGCTCGCATGCATGCCCACATGCATAATGCAATCCACCCCAATGCATTTTTGTTTCTTGTCCNTGTTCTATATTCTACTGATGTTGATGGACAGCCAGGGAGCACTTCCTCTCTTAGAAAAGGAGAAAAGAGGCACAAAAAAAGGAACATTCTTTTCTTTTCTATTTAAGATTTTATCAAGACCCCGAGAGCAATTTTAAGGACTGCAAGTAACCTCATCATTTTTTAAGGCAAGCGGCAGAATCGTTCCATTTCTAAATTCTGCGTGGGGAAATGCATGTTTCAATAAATTTGGTTCCTCGGGGTCTGACATTTTTTTGATGGAAAAGTAGAAACACCACTAATAAAACCCTACTGTCCTAAGGGACCTTGGGATTCGGTTAATCGATCTTTCAGCTCTTCTTGCCCAACTGACACTTATTCCCTTTTTTGTGGGGAGGGGGGGGGAGAAAAAAAGACCGACAGGCTCGAGATGGCCTATCTATTGAAGGAACTCGTTCCATCTGGCACATCAGCAATTAGGTTAATTAATGACTCTGAAAGGCCGGAAGAGTTTTACAGTCTTCAGCTGGGACAGCTTTCAGGTCAGTGAAGAGGAGGTGGAGGAGCTACCTTCCATAATGGATCCGAGAGCACGCAGGGCAGAGAAAAGACAACAGCAATGGAGATCTGCCAGATTACTCGGGAGAAGGCCCCGTACGTCTTGATGGGCTGCACAAGTGGAATGCTATTTGTCATGGCAGACTGACAGAGGCGTTGCTGGGAATAATATGTTTGGTATATGGCTGTGTGTGTTTGTCCCGTGTGCTTCCTGCCGTGGAGACTCTGAACTTCTCTTGCCGAGTGAGCATTTGCAGATGTTGTTTCAGTTTTGTTTGATGGAATTAAGTTTGTTTAGTGGACTTATATGTTGAAGCAACTTTTCATTTGTTTCCTGGACTAATCCTCTTGTGGCTGGATTTATTTGGGACAGTTTTGAGGCTGGGTGAAGGGAAGCGCTGGGGAACATCAATAAACTCTCTATAAACCACACTTAGATGTGTGTGTGAGTGAATGAGTGAGTGAGTGTGGGTTTTCAGTGCCATTGTAATGTGATTCCCCTTTTGCGACCTCCTCATAAGCAAATAGCAATAGCAGTAGACTTATATACCGCTTCATAGGGCTTTCAGCCCTCTCTAAGCGGTTTACAGAGAGTCAGCATATTGCCCCCAACA